TAAAGTATAAAGGAGTTACAACACTCAGCAGGTCATGTACCATCAGCTCACTGAGCTTTCATCACAACTCAGAACACATACAGGCATCACTGAGCAGGTTGTTGCAAAGCTGGTGCTGCTTGATAGCACTGTCAATGACACATTCAATCATTTTAGTGATGAGTGATGAATGATAATATAAACACAAGGAAATGCAGCTGATGAAATTCTGAAGCAAAAACAGATAGTGCTGGAGAAGCACACAGCAGGTCTGGCAGGATCTGTAGAGAGAAAGCAAACTTAACATTTTGAGTCCAGTGACCCAAAGGGTATGTTTCTCCGGCACACTTGTTACCGAAGGAATGGTGATGTATTTCTAAGGCAGGATAATGCATGGCTCAGTCACTCTTCCCAGACTACTTCACTGTCTTTCTCCTTCCAGATAGTATGGGTTTGGCAGGTGCTGTCTACGGAGCACAGCAGGTCTAAGAAGCACAGCAGGTCTGGCAGGATCTGTAGAGAGAAATCAAACTTTACATTTTGAGTCCAGTGACCCAAGGGATATGTTTTTCCAGCATTCTTGTTACTGAAGGAATGGTGATGTATTTCGAAGGCAGGATAATGAATGGGTCAGTCATTCTTCCCAGACTACTTCACTGTCCTTGTCCTTCTAGATAGTATGGGTTTGGAATGTGCTGTCTAAGGAACCTTGATGAATTTCTGCAGTGCATCTTGTAAATGGTACATATTGCTGCTACTGAACCTGAATGGTGGAGGGAGTGAACATTTGTGGATATAGTGCCAAATAATCACTTTGCTTTGTCCAAGAGGCATCAAGCTTCTTGAGTGTGGTTGGAGTGCATTCATCCCGGTAAGTGGAGAAGATTCCATCACACTCCTGACTTATGCTTTGTAGACGATAGACAGATTTTTGGGAATCAAGAGGTGAGTTTTTTGCTGCAGGATTCCTCAGCATCATTGTTCCAAAGTAAAGAACTCTAACCTTTCCTCATAGTAAATATTCTCCATTCATTGTACCCATGAATCCTCTCTGCAGACTCGAGTGTGATCATATCATTTTCATGAGGCATGACCAGGACAGTATGCTTTACTCCAAATGCAGTTTAACAGGTGTTCTATAAAGTTCTAGCATAACCTCCTTCTTTTATGATTTTATGCCCGAGTTAATGAAAAAATTAATCCTGCATGCCTTTTTAACTACCTTTTCTATAAGCCCCACTACCTTTTGAGATCTATGGATATATACTCCATAGTCCCTCTTTTCTTACAACAGCAAATTTCTGCAGATTATGGAAATTGAAATAAAAATAGAATATGCTGGAAATACTCAGCTGGTAAAACAGCATCTGTGAAGAGAAGCAGAGTTAAGATTTTGGGCTGAGGATGACCCTTCAGGAATCAGAGTTGATTTTACCTATTGGTATAATGGCCTCTCCCTCCATTAGCCTCTATCCTGTTTCTGGCATTACCTGTCATGACTCTCATAAAACTAAACCCCTCCCCTCCACTTCAACAATGAAAATCTGAATTTCCAAGGCACTTTTTTGAGAAGGTATCAGGAAGGCTTGATGAGCATAACTCTGTTGGTGAACTTTCAGAAGGCATTTGATACAATGCCAGAATTATAGGTCACGGAAACAAAAAAGTCAATGACAACATGGACATAAAATTAGTTGAGTGATATGAAAAAGAGAGTAATGGTCAATGGTCAATATTTTTCGGGCTGAAGGAAAGTATGCAGTGGTCAGTATTAGGACCTTTGCTTTGTCCTGATATATATTAATGATCCAGATCTGAGTGTGCAGGGGCAAGTTTCAAAGTTCACAGATAACACAAAAGTTGGAACAGTTGTAAACTGTGAGGAGACATTGTAGAACTCCAAAAGCATATTGACAAGTTAGTGAAGTGGGCAGATGGGTGGCAGCTGAAATTCAATGCAGAATTGTCAGGTGTGCATTTTGATGGGAAGAACATTGAATGACAACATAAATGGAGGATACAATTCTAAAGGGGATTCAGTAGCAAAGGGACCTGGGTATATATGTATACAGATCATTGAAGGTGGCAGGCCAGGTGAAGAAAGCAGAAGTAAAGCTTGCAGTACGTTAACTTTAACTTTATTAATAGGGCTATATATTACAAGAGGCCTATTTGACACTTGTTTGGCCTCATCGTTTACAATTCCGGGTGCCACATTATATGAAGCCTGTGAATGCATTGGAGAAAGTGCAGAAAAGATTTGCAAGAATGGTTCCAGAAATGTGAAATTTGAATTTAGAAGAATAGATTGTAGAAGTTGGTATTGATCTCCTCATAAAGAAGGAGGCATAGGTCTGATAAGGGTTTTCAAAATCATGAGTGGGCTGCATTGAGTAGATAGAGAGAAGCTGTTCATCCATGTCAAAGGCACAAGAACAAGAGGGTATAGATTTAAAGTGATTTATAAAAGAAGTGAAGGTGATATGAGAAAAAATCTTATTCATTCAGTGAATGGTGAGGTAATGGAATGCACTGCCTGGAAATGTTATGGAGTCAGTTCAGTTGAGGCATGCAAGACGATGTTGGGCAATTATTTAGATAACAATAATGTGCAAGGATATGGCGACAAAGCAGGAGATTAGCACTAGGTAATGACGCTCGTTTGAAGCGCCCGTACAAGCACGATGGGCTGAATAGCCCTAGAACTTCTGTGACTGTGTGATTCTCCCTGGGTCAGATTTGTATAGCCACGAAATATTCCAGCTTTGCTCTCCCGACTTAGTAACAAAAATTCAGATCTCATATTTTCATAGTGTTTTCAACTCGTCACATTTATTGTGACTCACCCTTTGTTTTGTCCTCAAGGAATTGCCTAATTCTTTTAGTAAATGACCATTTAATTGTCTGGGAAATAATTATATATATTTCATCATTATTCCAGCTGCAGACAGGATGATAAATGTTGGCCTACCCAACTGAGTAACCAGCGCAGGCAGGCTGTCCATTGGTGGAAGAGATGGGTGTTCTCAACCTGCATTAATCCGTGCATGATAGAACCAATGGCAGGAGATGACCCATTCCCCTAAAAAACCCTTTCCTCACTTTCAAGCTCCTGTTTGCCTCTCCCTGTCACCCACAGCCCCAGGAGACCCTGTAACGCTATAAAACATTTACCAAATATGTCACAACCGTGAACTGTGCTAAATTTAGAAAGAAAATTAAAGGATGAGTGCAAATGAATATTTAAGGAACATGCATTGCTAGCAGTGAATGTTTTTGTTTAGTTAATATTTGTGTAAACATTATAATTGTTAAAAAGGCAGGGTGATGCTATTAAAATGCAAACGGGAAACAAAATCATCTTCCACCCAAAATAGGAATGAAATCAAGTGATGTGATTGTTCCACCCACCTATTCATACTGACATGAGCCTTCAATTCAATTTAGCAACATTCTTGCTGCCTCCAAGTAGGGGAACCAATCGTGAAAGCTTACTTTCTGTAGCATATTCCTCTAAAGTATGCAGTATATCGCCTGTCCATTCCTACCTGAATTTTGCAACCTAGGTCCAGAATTTGCATATTTTCACAGCCTTATGCCAGTTTCAAGTAATAAGCTGCTCATTCATTTTGAGGTCGACCTGAAAATCATATCAGATGGGCTTTTTATAAATGAGATGACGTATATACTCTCCCAGTTTTCATGCCACTAGGAAATTCTCCTCCAAAAAGATCTGCTTCAACTAGCAGGAATGTGTAATATCTTTTCCACCAGGGATGGCTAGATTTTTACTCCTTGCCAATGACAGTTATTAATTATCTCACATAAGCCACAGCAGGAAGTGAATTCAAGGAAAGAGTCTAGATCAGATTATTTCTTTTTTATTCTATTCATTTGTGGGATGTGGGCATCGCTGGCTGGCCAGCATTTCTTGCCCATCCCTAGTTGTCCTTGAGAAGGTGGTGGTGAGCTGCCTTCTTGAACAGCTGCAGTCCTCCTGCTGTGGGTTGACCCACAATGCCATTAGGGAGGGAATTCCAGGATTTTGACCCTGCGACAGTGAAGGAACAGTGATACATTTCCATGCCAGGATGGTGAGTGGCTTGGAGGGGAACTTGGAGATGGTCGTGTTCCCATATATCTGCTGCCCTTGTCCTTCTCGATGGAAGTGGTCGTGAGTTTGGAAGATGCTGTCTGAGGATCTTTGGTGAATTTCTGTAGTACATCTTGTAGATAGTACACATTGCTGCTACTGAGCATTGGTGGTGGAGGGAGTGGATGCTTGTGGATGTAGTGCCAATCAAGTGGGCTCCTTTGTCCTGGATGGGGTCAAGCATCTTGAGTGTTGTTGGGGCTGCACTCATCCAGGCAAGTGGGGAGTATTCCATCACACTCCTGACTTGTGCCTTGTAGATGTTGGACAGGCTTTGAGGAATCAGGAGGTGAGTTACTTGCCGCAGTATTCCTAGCTTCTGGCCTGTTCTTGTAGCCACTCTGTTAATGTAGTGAGTTCAGTTGATTTTCTGGTCAATGGTAACCCCCAAGATGTGGATAGTGGGAGATTCAGTGATGGTAACACTATTGAATGTCAAGGGGCAGTGGTTAGATTATCTCTTATTGGTGATGGTCATAGCCTGGCATTTGTGTGGCACGAATGTCACTTGCCACTTGTCAGCCCAAGCTGAGATAAAATATTTCATCTCCAAATAATTTTCTACCTAGAACTAGATATTCACAGCTAGTTAAAATCAAACATTACCAATAATTTTGAATTAAGAATTTTCTTTTATGTTATAGAAAAAAAATTATAACAATGTGCTTTTGAAAAAAACATAGGTAGTAATGCTGAAACATTGTTGAATAATGCCAGTTTCAATAGCCAAATACTGACTAGATTTGCACTTTTTAAAATGCTTAAGATTTTTACTATCAGTGATATTCTTAATGTGCATTTTTCCTCCAGCATATTCTAATTGTTCAGCGACAAATGTCTATACTAGAAGAGGAACTAGAGGAATTCCGTCTAGCTTTGAGGCAGTATGTGGTATCTGCAACTGCACAAACAGGATGTTTGCAGTAAGTACAACGATCTTTGTGAAATTTATCTTTATAATGCTTTAATAAGGTCTACTGCAGGAATTACATTGAATGAATCCTTCCTGCCTATTCACACAGCAGCTACTTCTCCAGTAACACTTGCAATAAAGAGAACATAAGAAATTAATATCTTATGTGTACCAGGTGTGAAACAGCTCTGCTGACACATATCTTTGAACAGACATCTTCTGGTTTTAAGCTACTTTCAGGAATTTCTCATTGTCTCTCATTTTAATAATGAAAAATTGGACATCAATGTCTTAGTTTCAATTTTTATAAACTCTTTGGTGAGAGTGGCCAAAGTCAAAAATATCTGAATGATTTTGTAAGAATAATCAGAGGAATAGGAGTAGGCCATTCAGCCCACCAAGCCTACTGCTCCATTTAATATGATCATAGCTGATCAATGCATTTTACCACTCCAACCCCATAACCCATTACACTATTGATAGTCAAAAGTTTATCAAAGACTACTTTAAATATACCTAAAGACTGAACTCCCACAACCCTCTAGAGTATAGAATTCTAAAGATTAACACTCCGTGTAAAAGAATTTGTCCTCAATGTCATCCCCTTACTTTTAAATGGTAAACCCTGGTTTGAAACGCCCAAACCAGAGGAAACATCTTACCTGCATGTACCTTGCCCAGCTCTTTAAGTATTTTGTAAGTATCAATGATATCATATTTCATTCTTCAAAAACTCAGAGAATATAGGCCAAGTTTGCCCAATCTCTCCTTGAAGGACAGTCCCACCATCTCGGGAACAAGTCTGGTGACAATATCTTGCCTAAATTTAGGAAATTGGATACTCCAGGTGTGGTCTAACTAAGCTCCCATACAGTTGAAGTAATACATCATTACTCTTTATCTTAAATCCTTTTTTGATAAATACTAACAGTTCATTAGCCTTCCTAATAGCTTGCCGCTCCTGTGTGTTAGCTTCAGTCACTTATTGACAGACATCCAATTTTCTTTTCATGTACACTCTTACCAGTCTTTCAGCATTTAAGAAACACTCAAAAATCCTTTCTTCCAACAAAAAGTGGATAACCTCACATTTTTTCACATTATATTTCATCTGACATGTTCTTGCTCATTCACGAAGCCTGGACTAAATTCTTCTGGAAATGAACCATGTAATGAGAACACTCTTTATTGTTTGTATCAAAATGCATATTCTTCTGAGCTATTTCAAATGAGTGCAATTATTAGACTTCAAGTAGGTAGGAACATTAGATTTCCTTTTTTTAATCTTTTTTTGTCAAGACTGTGAACCAATGCATTGATGAAATAACACTAACGTAGTCTCAATTTTTCAGGATTTAATGCAGTTAATACATGTAATACAGGATGAGATCCAACAGCAAATGATCTTGATGGATTGTGGACATATAAAGCAAAGTGTAGCCCATGGTAGAACTTTGCAAACTATTTTCCAATTGTTGATTATAGAGAGTTTATGATTGCAGTTGCCTAATGTAGGCAGTTGGTGATTTGTAAGTGATTTTCTGATCGTTTATTGAGTTTGTTAAGAAACAGCAGTTTGGACACGATATACTGGTTATTTAGACAAAGAAAGTTGACAACTGTGACAATTTGGAATTGGTTCTTTGATACCAGAAGACAGGTTTGGTCTAGTTAAAGTTGTGGGTGCAGCATCCTGCTCTCGAGCCAAGATGTTAGGGATCTCTTCCCTGAGTCTTCCTCCTCTTCTTCTGGTCCATCTTCCATCTGCCTGATGAAGACTGCTCAAGGAAGATGTCTTCTCAGACTATCCGATGAGAACTGCTGCCTGCAAGGTCTGCATGATGACAACTGCTGTCTGCCGAAGACTTATCGTTATATCATATTTCTAGGCATAGATAACTTATACTGCCATTTAATTGCCTGAACCCTTTTGGCCAATGACCAATGGCCATGAGACAGCCACTTATAATGTTGAATGACTATCGTCCCTTGCCCACCTCTATCTGAAGCTTAGTTTTCAATCCTTCTAAGGACAAAACCATTTTTATTTTTGAAAACAGTACATTTCCTTATAGGGTACACATGGCACTAGATAAACTGTTGACGCTAGTTCAGTGAGCATCATGACATCTGTATTTCCCATAATTCTTCCCTCTTTGTTTCCCATGCTAGAATTTTGGAAAGCTAATTACTATGTAATAGCTGCTTGATGAAATCTCAGGCTACACAGAAACTAACAAGAATATTCAGTTTTTAAGGGAATCTAGCAGTTCAACAGTACCCCCTTTGTTAAGGAAGTAATCATATGGACATACCACAACTAAGTTTTAACTAATCTATTTATTTCTAAGGTATAATTTTGGTTCCTAAATTTCTTGATTTGATATTGCAGATAACATCATAAAGCTAGCCTTAACTGTAAATAGCAAGCTATGAGTGGCTACTAAACATAAAGCCAACAACCTCAACCATGGGGTCTGACTGAAATTATATATCAGGTCATGCCAGGCATGCAATCCTAACTTTTGACTTTCTTCTTCTTTGTTCTACTAGATGTTTTTCTGAGGACTTGGTCTTATCAATGATTGTTCTGAGGTTAAGAAACAAAGCAGGGATTGGTTGGCCAAATTGAGAGATGGTCTTGAGTGCCTCATTTCTTCATGGAGATATATACTCTCAGCACTGTGATGTAATGCATAGAATGTCATATCTTTATTATCTCAGTGGTTTGGAAGCAGAAGTTAGGCTTCCAAATGTGTTGAAGCTGAGCATGTACCCAAGTTGAAACCCAGCATGGACTCATCTGTGAGATAGCAAGAACTGCCGATGCTGGGGTCAGAGATAACAAGGTGTGGAGCTGGAAGAACAAAGCAGGCCAGGCAGCATCAGAGGAACAGGAAAGCTGATGTTTCGGACTGGGGTCCCGACCCGAACCGTCAGCTTTCCTGTTCCCCTGATGCTGCCTGGCCTGCTGAGTTCCTCCAGCTCCACACTTTGTTATCATGGACTCATCTGCTCTGTCTGATTTTATCCTTTTTCTCCCTATTTCTCTGCTTTAGAAGGACTGCAATGCTGAACCTTTTTTTTATCTCTTTATTTTTATAATTTTGTACCTAGGCAACTTTGAACCTAAGAAAGCACTGGAAATGGCAACTTTGTACACTTTTCACTGTACTCCTATATCCCTGTACTTGAGTACATGTGACAATAAAACCTAATTCTAATTCTAAAATTGGGCAAATATCACCCTTTTAGATCTTTCTGTTTTCTGCTTTCTAATCTTTTCTCCTACTCTGCATTGTAACTATGCTATAATCCTTTGAGGACTTGGGCTCATCTTTAGCTGGTTACAGTAAATTAAACTACAGCAAAAGATTATGCATGGGCCTAAAACATTCTCTAGCTCTCCCCTCACTTATACCCGTTCTGTGATTTTTTTCTTATTTAATATTTTCCCTCCTCGTTTCCTATTGTCCCAATCCAAGATTCATTTAAGTTTAATTCTTAGCCTCTAAAACCAATAGCTCTTTGATTGTTTTAAAGTCAGTTTCTCTATGAATTATGTGTCAGTGCCTTATCATTTAAACCATGTTTTTGCGCTCCTCCAGACCACAATAACTAAATTGTCAAATAGGTGTAACATGCCTGAGTCTTGTTCTTTGGTCCATTTTTGCCACGCAGCCCCTCGTGTCAGTTACTCAGATGCAACAATCCTGCATGCTTATATCAGTATTTCACAATCATACCATGCATTCTTGACTTCCAGGCAATCTTTTCAAAAGATCAAAAATTAGGGGCTAGGGCACATGCGCCTCCACCCCGCTTGCTCCCAAACCTGATCAGAAAATCTGGACCAATGATTTAAGTACAATATGTCTTTTTTTCAGCACAGTTATTGGACTCAAAATGTTAATCTGTTTCTCTCTCCACAGAGGCTTCATGTCTGCTGAGCTTCTCTAGCACTTCATGCTTATATTTTGGATCTTCAGTATCCACAGTATTTTACTTCTAATTAGTGAATTAATTTGATTGTGATCACCTAAAATCTAATTATCAATGTTAGATTTTAAATTTGTGTTTTTCACCAGCTAATAGTACAATCGGCATATTGCCATCAATAATGCGCATGCATTTCTATTAGAAGTAATTTATTTTCCTGTGTAATGGTATTTCATGTTTTATTATCTGAAAAATAAATAAGGTTACTTCATTTTAATTCAAATGTTACCTTGTGAAAACATTCTGACTGGCTTATGAATCAGGTTTTGTGTTTACATTTTAATTTGCAGTAAAATACACACTGATAATTTGTTCATAGATTTGAAAAAAATACATTTATATACAGCCCTTCTTTAACTCACAGTGTGCCAAAGTGTTTTACAGTCAACAAATCAGTTTTGAAATGTAGGTATTGTGTTAAATGAAACATAGCAGCCAATTTGCAACATCAACCTCCCACAACATTGATGTGATAATCAGGTGTGGAGTTGGAGGTACACAGCAGGCCAGGCAGCGTCAGAGGAGCAGGAAAGCTGACGTTTCGGGTTGGGACCCTTCTTTAGAAATGGGGGAGGGGAAGGGGGCTCTGAAATAAATAGCGGGGTGATACAAGGTGGATAGTGGAGCGGATAGGTGGGAGAGAAGATGGACAGGTCAAGGAGGTGGGGATGAAGCTAGTAAAGGTGAGTGTAGGTAGGAAGTGGGGATGGGGGTTAGTTAGTGAAGTGGGAGGAGCAGATAGGTGGGAGAGAAGATGGACAGGTCAAGGAGGCGGGGGTGAGAGGGGACTGGTCTTGGGATGAGGTCGGGGGTGGGGAGATTTTGAAGCTAGTAAAGTCTACATTGAGACCATTGGGTTGTAGGCTTCCAAGGCGGAATATAAGATGCTGTTCCTCCAGTTTCCTGGTGGCATCATTGTGACACTGGAGGAGGTTCAGGATGGACATGTTGTCCAGGGAGTGGGAGGGGGAGTTGAAGTGGTTCGCGACTGGGAGGTGTTGTTGTTTGTTGCAAACCGACATTGGGTAGACCAAGCAGAGGATCAGAGAAATCGGGGAGATCAAGCGGAGGCTCGGAGAAATCGGGGAGACCAAGCGAAGGCTCGGAGACCGCTTTGTGAAGCACCTACCCTCGGTTCGCAACAAACGACAACACCTCCCAGTCGCGAACCACTTCAACCATCCAAGAGGATAGAGTAGGCTTTGGTTTAACATTTCATTCAAGGACAGGTTCACCAACAATACAGCATTCTACATACAGGCATGTTATCCATTTATTTTGCCTAAGTTTCTGGAGTAGTGATTGAACACACAGTGTTCTAACTTAAGAGTGCTACCGACTGAGCCTCAACTATTAAAACATACAATAAATTATTTCCAGTGGCGAAACCATAACTTGAACAGTATTCATAATTACATGCTGCATTTAGCTGCTCAATTTCATTGTTAACATGAACAATGCATCAATAATAGATGTATAATGATCATTACTTACTATTTTCTAGACCATAATTTTATTTATTGAGATTCACTGTTTCTTTTCACAGCATTTCTGTGCAGAAAATTTCAGCTGAATCGTGTTTTACACTTTATGAATTCTGGGAAAATACCAATCTTTGGAAAAAGTAAGTATTTTTACAGAATAGTTAGAGATATATTGGATGAAGAATCAAACTAAGTGGTTTAGCAAAAACAAACAATTCAGTGACAACAGCTGCACCCGTTTGTAGCTAGGACAAATGAGCAGCATTAATCCAACCCAACTAATCTTGTTGCACCTTCCTACGGATATAAAGATTAATTTACAGGGTGTACATGATATGATGATACTTCTTGCCAACCTGACCACAAAACTACTCCTTTACAAACACGGACTCCAACCACCTTCATAACATTGTCCAGGTTCATCCTGCTCAACTCATCTAATGCTGAAACGTTCATCATGTCTCTGTTTCCAGACCAATGATACTTGGGAAGGAAGAGGGCCAAGTTGGTCAAGTATCAGTGTAAAAAGGTTTAGGAAACAGTGACCTTTGTATCATAAGGAGGAGGCAATCTCAATAAAAGGCTAAAATACAATTTGGAATAATAATAGTAATCAATTTGGAGAAAGTAAAGTTAAATGAGGCTAAGAACAGGCCTTGGCTGAATAAATTGGAGCCAAATATTGGCAAAAATAGAATAGCTGAATTATGAGTTACCTTCAAAGAAGAGGTATTTTGGGCACAGTCAAGGCACATACTTCCAAATGGGAAAGCTAGATTAAACAGAGTTCCCTGCGTAAGAGATGGAAATTAAGATATGGAAGGAAAAGTGTGACAGATATCAGGCAGAAAATATAATATTTTCCAGAACAAGGCTGAAGATGGAAGCTTCAGAATAGTGGTGGAAAAGCAAATAAGAGCAAAGACTGAGTGTGAAAATAGACTGGAAGTCAAACTCAGATCGAATTCTATAGGCTTTTACAGGTATGTAGATAGGAAAAGATGGTAAGAGTAGCAGTACGGCTCATTAGGGACCAAAAAGGGAATAAACAAAGAAGAACAAAGAACAATACAGCACAGGAACAGGCTCCTTGACCCTCCAAGCATGTGCCGACACATTTTGCCCTTCCATACTAAAACTGTCTTCATTTACAGGATCCGTATCCCCCTGTTCCCTTCCTATTCATGTTTTCATTCAGGTGCCTCTTGAATTCTGCTATTGTGTTTGCTTCCACCACCTCCTCTGGCAGCACATTCCAGGCACTCACCACCCTTTATATGAAAAACGTGCTTCACACATCTCTTTCAAACTTCTCCCCCTTGGACCTTGAACCTGTGTCCCCTAGTATTTGACTGCTCCGTGCTAGGAAAAAAAGCCTCATATTTCCCACGCTATCCATGCCATTCACAATCTTATAAACTTCTATCAGGTATCATGCATGGAGGCAGAGGTTGTAGCTAGGGTGTTAAATGAATACTTTGTAACTATGTTTACTATGAAAGAAGATGATACCTAGGCCATAGTGTAAGTAGAGGTCATTCAGAAATTAGACTGACTATAATTAAAATTAAGAAGACATTCAAGGAATACTGAGGGAAGTGACATTGGAGACTGTGGAGGCTCTGGCTGTAATTGTTCAGTCTTCCAGAGACTTTAGCTGGCGCTGAGGACTGGAACATTGCAACTTTACACCCTTCTCCAAAAACAGCTGTAAGTCTAATCCAGTGACTATGGGTCAGTGATGAGGATAATTCTAGAATCAATAATTCAGGACAAAATTTATAGTAACATGGACAAATGGCAGGTTAATTAAAGAAAGCCAGTTTGAATTTATTCAGGAAAAACATTCTGTTTAACCAGTATTAAGTCCTTTGAAGATATAACACAGCCTGGATGAGAGCAATGCAGTTGATGTGGCGTATGTGGACTTTCAAAAGGCATTTGATACAGTTCCACAAAATAGACTTGTGCTCAAAGTTTCTAAGTGGGAAGTGTGTCCCACAGTCAGTATCACAGTGAAGCAGTCCAGGAAGAATCCCTGCAGCATCATCACAGTGAAACAATCTGGGAAGAATATTGCAGCAGCACTGCAGTGATGCAGTCTGGGAAGAGAGTCAAAAAGTGATGCAGGCGAGGAGGAATCAGCTGACTGGATGAGTATGGTCATATGAGTACTTTTAGTTACCCTTTATCGCCTGTAGTTTGTAAAGTCTTTCTTTTGGATTTATAGCTTGTAGGGACAGATAAGCTGCAGAGGTCCAGAGAAGAACAGCCCTACAGTAATTAATATTATTTAATTTTAAGGACAACCTAAAGGTATAATTTAAATGGGTACGTAATGAAAGAAGATATATTCCTCCTTCTCTATGGTGGAAGTCAGGCACAGTTCCAGTCCCTAGGACCAGAACCTGTGCAAGAAGCATCTCCGGCAGTAGCACCTGGAAATCTGAGGGTCAGAACTAGAGCAGTGGCTGGAGATACTGTGGAGCTTCTGCGAGGCTGAAAGTACAGAGAGGTGGTTACTCCACAGAGTAAGAATCCTTGGGCAGGGAGGGAATGGACAACAAACAGGCAGAGACAGAGGATTAGGCAGGCAGTGCAAAGAGTCCCTTGCAGTTATGGGCCTGCAAAAAAGATTTACTGCTTTGGATACTGTTGGGCAAAATAGTCTCTCCGAGGAAAGTAGCAACAGCCAAATTCATTGCGACCTGGCTGGCTCTGCTGCACAGGAAAGGAGGAATAGGTGTGGGAAGGTTACAGCAGTAGGGGCTTCAGTTGTAAGGGGAATAGATAGATTTTCTGTGACCATAAATGAGACCCTAGGATCATATGTTGTCTCCCAGGATATCAAGGATGCCTTGAAGCAGCTACAGGACATTCTGGAGTGGGAGGGTGAATAGTCAGTGATTGTAGTACATAACAACATAGGTAAGGAAAGGGATGAGGTTATAAAAGCAGAATATAGGGAGTTAGGAAGCAAGTTTAAAAGATTGGACCTCAAAAGAAGTGATCTCAGGATTGTTACCAGTACGTGCGCTAGTCCAAATGGAAATAGCAGGATATATCAGATAAATATGTGGCTGGAGAGATGTTGTAAGGGGAAGGGTTTCAGATTCCTGCGACATTGGGACAGTTTCTAGGGTAGGTGGGATCAGTACAAGCTGGGTGGGTTCCAGCTGGCAGGATTGGAACTAATGTCCTAGGTGGACTGTTTGCTCATACAGTTAAACTAAATGGCAGAGGAAAAGGAACTTATACAGGGAGACAGAGAGACGGAAACAAGGGCAAAAACAAAAGACAGAATGGGAAATAAGAAAAATGAAAGGCAGAGAATTCAGGGACAAGAATCAGTCAGGGCCACAGTGCAAAATATTGTGAACAGGAATAAGAATGCACAAGAAGTCAAATCTTAAGGCCTTGGGTTTTAATGCATGGAGTATTTGCACTTGTTCTAGCAATTAATTTATAGAGTCATAGATTCATACAGCACAGAAAAGGCCCTTCAGCACATCAAGTCTACACTGACATAACACCACTAAAAGTGCACTAATCCCAATTTCCTGCAATTGTCCCATATCCTTGAATGTTATGATATTTGAAATACTCATCCACATTATTTTTAAAGGTTCCCAGGTAGTGCATTCCAGATTCCCACCACCTGCTGAGTGAAAAAGTATTTTCCCCAAATCATAGAATCCCTACAGTGTGGAAACAGGCCCTTCGGCCCAACAAGTCCACATCGACCCTCTGAGCATCCCACCCAGACCCATCCCCCTAATCTACACATCCCTGAACACTACAGGCAATTTAGCATGGCCAATCCACCTAACCTACACATCTTTGGACTGTGGGAGGAAACCAGAGCACCAGGAGGAACCCACGCAGACCCGGGGAGAATGTGCAAACTCCACACAGACAGTCACCCAAGGGTAGACTTGAACCCAGGTCCCTGGTGCTGTGAGGCTGCAGTGCTAACCACTGAACCACTGTGCCACCCAGACATGAACCCATGATCCTTGGCTTAAGAAGCCAGTGCCTTATCCATTTGGCAAACATTTGGCAAATCCTGTCTGAATCTCATGCCCCTTGCCCTAAAACTATGCCCTCTCATGATTAACTCTGTCCTTTCACATTATAATCCTATACACCTCAATCATGTCCCCCACTTCAGTCTCCTCTGCTCTGAAGAAAACAATCTTTCTAGTCCGTCTTTATAACTCAATTTTTCCATCCCATGCAACATTCTGGTGAACGGCCTCTGTACCCCTCTAGTGCTATCACATCCTTCCTGTAACAAGGTGGCCAGAACTGCGTACAGTACTCCTGTTGTGACCTGACTAATGTTCTGTACAACTCCAATATTACCTCCTTGTTTTTATACTCTCTGCCACGACTGATGAAAGTAAGTATCCCATATGTCTTCTCAACTGTCCCATTAATGTGTTCTGCCGACTTATAGGATCTGTGAATAGTTACCCCAAGATCCCTCTGTTTGTCTAAGCTACACAGTGTCTTGCCATTCATTAAATACTCCCTGATCTTGTTTCTTCTTCCAAAGTGCATCACCTCACTGGGTTAAATACCATCTGCCACTGGTCGGCCCATCTGACCAACCTATTTAAATCTTCCTGTAACCTACAACCATCTTCTTCACTATTAACCACTCTACCAACCTTGTCGCCTGTAAATTTGCAGAACATTCCCTCCACATTTTCATTTGTATTATTTATGTATATAACAAACAATAAGGGTCCCAGTATTGATCCTTGTGGTACACCACTGGACACTGGCCTCCAGTCATTTGAACAGCCTTCTACCACTACCTTTGTATCCTATTACTAAGCCAGTTTCTGATCCATCTTGCCAAGACTTCCTCAGTTCCATTTGCTTAAACCTTCTCAATTAGTCTCCCATGTGAGACCTTGTCAAAAGCTTTGCTAAAATCCATATAAACTACATCAACTGAACTTCCCTCATCCACACACTTGATCACATTTTCAAAATATTCTAGTAAATTTGTTAGGCATGATCACCCTCTGACAAAGCCATGCTGACTATCCATAATTAAACCTTGTCCTTCCAAGTGGCTATTAATTCACTCCTTCAGAATTTTCTCCAATAGTTCCCTACCACTGAAGAGTGACTCACTGGTCTGTAACAACCCTCTTAAAAATTGGAACCACATTACCCTCCAGTCCTTTAGCACTTCCCTGTGGCCAGAGAGAAATTTAAAAATTGTGTCAGAGCCCCTGCGTTTTCCTGCCTCACCTTCTACAGCAGCCTGGGATGCAATTCATCTGGACCAGGGGATTTGTCTGCTTTTGAGTTCGAATACCTCCTCATTTCCTATGTCAAACTGTGTAAGTACCTCACAGTCCCTTTTCCTGAATTCTGTACCTACGTTTCCAGAGTGAAGACCGAAAAGAAATATTCATTCATCACACTTACAATATCCTGCAGCTTCACACACACGTTGCCCTTAATAGGCCCTGCTGTTTCCCTTATTAGCTTCTTTCCTTTAATATATTTATAAAATATCTTAGGATTCTCCCTAACCTTGTTTGCGAAGCCTTTTTCATGTCCCCTTTATGCTCTTCTAATTGCTTTCTTAAGTTCCCCCTACACTTCCTGTATTCCTCTAGGGATACAGCTGAGTTACTCCCTTTGGATTTGCTGACAGCTCTACTCTTCTTCTTTATCCAGACCTGAATTGCCCTAGACACCCAAGGTTCTCTGAAATTATTGCCCCACATTTCCCTATAAAGGGTATATTTTGAACCTGTATTCTCCCTAGTTCCTTTTTGAATGCCCTCATAGATCCCATAGACCTATCCTCAAGGAGCTGTTCCCAGTCTACTGTGGCCAGATCCTTCTTTATTTTAATCTTCCCCAATCCAAAGCTGTCTTTTGTATAGAGAGATAACAAGGTGTAGAGCTAGATGAACACAGCAGGCCAAGCAGCATCAGAGGAGCAGGAAAGCTGACGTTTCGGGCCTAGACCCTTCTTTGTCTTTTGTGTGCCATCTTTTTCTTTATCTGGAATAAATTAGAACCATACCATTTTGAGGCCTTAATGCTCCCCCACTTGCCATCGAACACTTGTCCAGCTTCTTTCCCCAGAGCCAGATCCAGCAATACACCATCCCTTGTTCGACCTTCTATGTATTGATACAAAAAATCTCCCTTGAATACATTTAACACTATGACTATACCAATTCATGTTGGGAAAGTTGAGATTCCCTAGTATAATTACGCAATTATTACTCTTACACACCTCTGTGAACTGTCTACATATTTGCTCCTCTATTTCCTGCTGACTCTTTTGGGGGCCTGTAGTACACTCCCAGTAAAGTAGCTGCCCTCTTAATGTTCCTAAGTTCTACACAAAGCCTTGTTTGAGGACCCTTCCACGATATTATCTCTCCTTATTGCAGTAATTGACTCTTTAATTAATAGTGCTACACCACCATCCTTTTTTACCCTCCGCTGTCTCGCTTAAAGATCCTATACAAGCAATGTTGAGTTGCTCGTCCAGCCCTCCCCTCAAACATTTTCCTGTGATGGCAACAACATCATATTTCCACGTGTCTATCCACACAATTAACTCATCACTCTTACCTATTACATTCTTAGCTGTAAAGACCATCCAGCCTTGCCTTAGTCTCTTGAAAGTCAACATAGCTGAACTCACTGTGACTTGCTTCCTTGTAGCATGATGTGCCTCTGTTTCATCAATATTCCATGTCCCCTCCTGACTGCTGCTCCAAGCTAAGTGCCCTGCCCTGTAAAGACTAGACCCGAATCTGGACTGCAGTAGATTTATAGGCTGACCAGTTACTGTGTCTCCGCCTCCCGGCTTCTGCTTTGGGGTTTCCCAACTGTTGCTCCAAGCTAAGTCCCCTGTAATATTCTGAGGATATCCATTGAACAGAAACTGAGCTGGACTAGCCAAATAAATATTATGGATACAAGAGCATGTCAGAGGCTAGGAATCCTGCTGCAAGAAACCCACTTCTGGCTCCTCACATCCCCTAAATGAATGAAAAAAACATTCAGGAATCCTGATCTTCTTGAAAAGCAAGGTACAGAGAACAAACTTTTACAGAGTACTCCAGGTATGACATTTTCAAAGTCCAATGTTATGCAGCAAAATTTCCAAACCTTTTTTGAAGAAGTGATGAGGGCGTTTGATGAAGGCAAAGCGGTGGGCCTTGTTTATATGGACTTTAGTAAGGCATTCGACAAGCTTCCTCATGGTAGGCTGATTAACAAGGTTGCATCACATGGAATACAGGAGAATTAGCCTTTTGGATATGAAATTGACTGGAAGGTAGGAGACAGAGGGTGGCTGGGGAAGGTTGCTTTTCAGACTGGAGGCCTGTGAGCAGTGGTGTGCTGCAAGAATCAGTGCTAGTCCACTGCTTTTCATGATTCATATAAATGATGTGGATGTGAATATAGGAGGTACGGTTAGTAACTTTGCAGACAACAGCAAAATTGGTGGTGTAGTGGGCAGCGAGAAGGTTACCTCAGAGTACAACGGGATCTTGATTGGATGGGCAAATGGGCCAAGGAGTGGCAGATGGAGTTTAATTTAGATAAATGTGACGTGCTGCATTTTGAAAAGGCAATCAGGGCAGGACTTATACACTTAATGGCAAGGTCCTGGGGAGTTTTGCCAAACAAAGTGACCTTGGGGTGCAGGTTCATGGTTCCTTGAAAGTGGAGTCGCAAGTAGACTGAGTGGTGAAGAAGGCATTTGGTATACTTGCCTTTATTGGGTCAGTGCATTCAGTATAGGAATTGGAGGTCATATGCAGCTGTACAGGACATTGGTTAGGCCACTTTTAGAGTACTGCATTCAGTTCTGGTCTCCCTGCTGTAGGAAAGATGTTGTTAAACTTGAAAGGGTTCAGAAAAGATTTACAAGGATGTCACCAGGGTTGGAGGGTTTGAGCAATTGGGAGAGGCTGAATAGGCTGGGGCTATTTTCCCTGGAGCATTGGAAGCTGATGGGTGACCTTATAAAGGTTTATAAAGTCATGAAGGGCGTGGGATAAGATAATAGACAAGGTCTTTTCCCTGGGGTGGGGAAGTCCAAACCTCGAGGGCATAGGTTTAAGATGAAAGGGGAAAGATTTAAAAGGGTCCGAAGGGACAATTTTTTCACACAGAGGGTCAGAGGGGGTGGTGGAGGCTGGTACAATTACAACATTTAAAAGGCATCTGGATGGGTATATGAATAGGAAAGGTTTAGAGGGATATGGGCCAAATGCTGGCAAATGGGACTAGATTAATTTAGGATGTCTGATCAACATGGATAAGTTGGACCAAATGATCTGCTTCCATGCTGTACATTGCCATGACTCTATTTCAATAAAAGCTAACACAATATTTTCTTATCTAATTGCCTGTAATGCCTGAATGTTAATTTTATAATCTAGGCAAAAGGATGTGTGCATACATTTTTTTTGAATACCAGGATTTACGAGTTTCTCACCTTTTAAGAAATGTTTTGCTTTGTCGTTGTTCTGAATAAAATGGATAATTTCACATCTTCTCAAATTATACTTCATCTGCCACCTTCTTTCTCTTGTGGCCTCTTCATATCTTCCTCACACTTGTTTGTCAAGAAACCTGAATCAATTGCATTTAGTCCCTTCATCCAAGTAATTAATATAGATTGTAAAATGCCTGGGTCAAACTACTGATCCTTATAAAACCTAACTAGTCATATCAAAATGGTTCAGTTGCTTTTTATTCTTCTTTTTTGTCTTTTAACCAATCCCCAATTTATGCTAACATATTATCCAAATTGTATGAACCCTAACCTTCTATAACAGTCTCAAATTGACTTTTGCTATCTCCAAACATTATTATAATATTTTCCTGACTGGCCTACATTTTACATTCTCCATAGTTTGAGCTCATCCAAAAACTGTGTTGCCCATATCCTAACTCTAATCAAACAGAAGTTCTGGTCAAGGCAGGAAAATAGGTATGTTTACATCTCAGCATCAGCTGTCCTCTTGGATTTATCTCATGAATGCTTTCAGAGCTGACAACACCAATTTGGCAATATTTCTGAAGTCCTGCCTGTACTGTATTGCTTCACAACAGAACTTTCAGCAAAGCTATTCCATCAACTGGATTTGACTTGTGGACAAGATCTTGCATTAGACTAGCAGTCCTCAGGGAGTTGAATGTTCCAGCTGATGGATCTGAACAGCTCACTGATGCTTTATTATTGAAAACAGCATTTTCATCAGTTTCTTCAGGAATAGGGCAGAAGAGCTCTCACAATTTGTAGAATCCCAAAATAAAGGTTTACATTAATAGCAAAAGTAAAGCCATGATGGTCTCTAAACACCTTATGGTAGATCCTGTATACCAAAAATTTGAACTTACCCATTCCCTTCATGTGCCAGACAGGGACCTTATGAAAAGAAGCTGGAGAAAATCTACTGATCTCCAGTGGATTGTAATAATAAATTATAGCAACCAAGGAGTCCCATCTAAAACAGACAAGGACCACTTGAAAAATGTTCAGGTCTGCGCCCAAATTTAGTGTCTTCTTGATATGTAGGTAAAGACACCACTGAGTTTTTAATGTCAGTCTGCACAAAAAAGAAGCAAGTCACCCTGCAGACTGCAGCAAGTGAAGGATGAGCAAGGTAAGATACACTTTCAGGAGATTTATTTCATTTCTGGCTGGGGCCAGGAAAAAACAGCATATCCACTTTCCAAACTATTAACCATTCTCCAGTTCATCTTCACATTTATCTATATTTTGTTCTACCAGGTAGACGTTCAGTACCTTCAAATAATATTACAATTAAACATTTTGTATTTCTTTCTGTTTTAAATAGGATGATTATAAAATAGATCTTATAGCTCCCATGTTTCCCTCTATCAATGTCTTTTCATAAAATGAAGTGTAAATTCACCATTGTTGTGAATCTAACAATTTCAGGTTCTCTTGTTGTTTGTTTATGCTATCTGTGTATAATGTAACTTTTGCCATAATCAGGAAGTATCAATAATATATATTTGAATTATATCGCCAACAGCCACATCCAGACTAATTACAACAAAACCTTTCAGAGAAGTAATGTAGATTTCCTGGACACCCCAGAACTAATAACAACAATGCTTGTGCCTGGTAAGATGAAAATCTAAAAACTTCAGTGAAAGCTCTTTACTGGTAGTATTGCTTTCTTCCATGTGTAAAGAACAGAAATCAAAATATGTTTTTTCAAAAATAATTTTCTTGATATTTCTTTTGAGGGTTACATTTGTTTATTTTCAGTTTTCAAGGACACACTTTTCATTCTTGCACCTTCACTGTAATGCAATAACATTGTGCATTGTATTTCTGTTGCTATATAGGATCTTTAGACTAAAAAGAAACAGAATTAGGAGAATTCATCCAAACCTCAATAATCAAAATTGCTCCATTAAACTTAAAGTTATAACTCAAGGTAAATAGTAATTTCCTGACGACCACAGGATTTAAATTGGCATGAGACAGGAGGCAGAAGTTAGCAAAAGTATTTTTATAATCATTTGGCAATACAGAACTTGAGTATTTCAGTAAAAAGGCATATTTCATCAAAGCACTTCGTCTTGCAATACCAAAACAATTTGCAAAATTGTAATTTAAGAGGAAATCGACATTTATATAATATGAAAGGACATTGCAAATCGGCCCTGCTTGTTATTGGCATCACCATGAAAAAGTGCACAGTTAATGATCACAAAATCACAGAAGTGTAACAGTGCAGAAGAAGATAATCTGACCTGTCTTGTCTACACCAGTCCTACAAATGAGCACCATGTTTTAGTCCTTAATTATTTTGCCTTCTCCCAATTTGTTTGCACATTATTTCTATTTTACAAAGCCATCCAATGTTGTCTCGAATGCCTCACCATACTTCCAAGCACTGCCTTCCAGATCCAAATTACTCACTGTGTGAAAATATTTTTCTCCTCTTGCATTTGCTTCTTCTGCTTACAACCGATTTTGGGATTAGCAGTTGTGTTCACAGTCTGGTGTATTTGTGTGTACTGGAAGCTGTATAGTTTAATACGCTTGGCCCTGTTCTTTGCAGATAGAAAGAACATGTACACACAGTGCTCTGAGTTCAACGAACATAATAGGTGACAGCCATTCATATTCATTACTCAGGACAATACCTTGACCAATCAGAGTCAACCTGCCTTGTGTAAAACCTAAACAATGCATGGCCATCAACTGTCAATTACCATTAACTGGCACGTTCTCTATGGCAATGCTGCTACCAATCGACATGCACTTCCTAACCAATCAACACTCCCATACAGTATAAATGTCAGCTTTCCCCTTAAATTAGTATTATTGCAAATTTTCTTGATAATTACAAGATAATAAAGCTTAGGCAAAATGTGAGTTTTTCCAACAATAGAAACATTTTTTGTGAATAAATAACAAACGTAAATAATACGTAAAAAGCCATCGCCCTAAATACAAATGCAGACTTGTTTGTTCACAAATTTACCAATTGGATTTTTGTCTTTTACATAGTCATTGAACTACAAATAATACACTGTATTCGAAACAGTTTAGGATGTGATAGCACACGAATGCAAATCTTATTAATTAATTATTACATTGCCAGATAATTTATGACATAGAACATAGAGCGCAAAGAACTGTATAGCACAGGAATGGGCCCTTTGGCCCATGATGTTGTGCCAAACATGATGCCAAATGAAACTAACCCCTTCTGCCTTAGTCCATATCCCTCCATTCCTTTCTTTTTCATGTGTTTATCTAAAAGTCTCTTAAACGCCCCTATCATATCTGCCTCCATGACTGCCCTGGCAGCGCGTTCCACACTCCTATCACTCTCTGTGTAAAAAACATGCCCCTCACATCTCCTTTGAACTTTCCCCCCTAATTTTAAATGCATGGCCCCTAGTATTAGACATTTCAACTCTGGGAAAAAGATTCTGCCTGTCTACCCTATCTATGCATCTCATAATTTTATAGAGTTCTATCAAGTCTCCCCTCAGCCTCTGCCACTGCAGAGAAAACATCCCAAATTTTTCTAGCCTCTCCTAATAGTTAATAGTCTCTAATCCAGACAACATCCTGGTAAACTTCTTCTGCACCCTCTCCAAAGCCTCCACATCCTTCTTATAATGTGGCGATCAGAACTGAACACAGTACTGTAAGTGTGACCTAACCAAAGTCTTATAAAGCTGCAACATGACATCCTGACTCTTGTACTCAATTCCCTGACCAATAAAGGCAAGCATGCCATATGGCTTCTTCACCACCCTAGCTACTTGTGTGGCCACTTTGAGGGAGCTATGGATTTGAATCCCAAGATCCCTCTGTACAACAATGCTGTTCAGGTTCCTGCCATTAACTGTGCAGTAACAAAAGTAAACTAAATGCCCAACGAGGGTCACATGTATTTCTCGATTTGCTTTTAACAAATTAGTTGTAATGCATTTGTTATATATATTTGAGAATTCTTTTAGAGCCACTCAGTGAGTGTTTTCTCTATCTCTTCCACAGCATCATGGTGGGTTCTGAATAATAACTGATTGTCCGCTGTTGCAGAAAACATGTGACACATGAAATTTTCTGCGCAACATCTATAGTGATGGCTTAACTTGTGTTACAATAGCGAAAACAGGCTTAATTAAAATGACCAAATAATGTTAGATATAACTAAAATAATAAATGAATACAAAATTGGAAGTAATGTGTTCTACTTAATAAATCATTAACTAATAGACAACTGTAATGAGCAGTACTAGTGTTATATATTCTGTAACAGTTTTTTTTTGTAATACTGTCCAGTTTTCTATTCTATTTGTACCACACAACTTCAGATTACCACGTCTTTTTAAGGAAGTCATGAAAATTGGGTAATTTATTTATTATTATTCAAAAATCAGGAGGTAAGGCCCAACAATTCTTCATTAATAACACATTTAAAGTTTAAACATGTAGCCCTTAAGGCTACATAACAGAATCTGCTGAAGAAAATATTTTAAAATGTAAATTTTCACGACTAAACATATATAAGGTGAATGTTACGTTCCCCAAACAGGGAGTGTTTGAAACTGGGACAGCACAAAAAGCAAAGTCGGTGAATAGCCCATTAGCTTCTCATCTACCCCTACCTTCCCCACGTTTTGAGCTGCTAAATTTGTGAGCTGCTTTATGCCTCACCTATCCTATTTTTTGGAGGCAGGTAAGGCATAAGGCAGTCCACCTATCCTGAGGCCTATTGAAGCCATTCAGTGAACAATTGACTGCAAGTTACGGGTTTTGCTGCACTTCTCGCACAATTTTTTGGTTTACAGGGGAAGGTAAAAGGAAGGTGGTCAACCAGACAGCTTTGACAGAGTGGGCTACTATTAGGCAGCAAAAGTGGGATGGAGGAGTGAGGTCCTCTGCCCATCAGGAGGGCTCTCCTAATCTTTTTAATCTGACATCCCCACCATCCCCATCCACCTCACTGGGGGTTTCCCAGCCATCCTACCTAAAGCCAAATTCCCAACTCACCCAAAATCCAGAACAATCTTCATTATTTCATTGGGACTGGTTGTACAGTCCCAGCAGTGACCACTACTGTATTTCAGCACTGCTTGGACTACAGCAATGATGGACAATCAGATTAGCCACCAGGGCTGCAGAGTAGGACTTCCTGTCCTTGAAGGGTGGCTGTTCCGCTTTAAATCAATTATTTCCGCATCCAATGTAATATTGCTACATGACAACTATATTTCACATTGGCAAAGTGCCAATTGACTTTTAGGTCCAGTGTGTTGTGATTAATCAAACCCTTTGTGAAATCCATCACATATTTAAGTAATGTTATAGGTTACAGCCAAAAAACCAAGCATCAACAGCTTTCTCCAGACCCAATTGGTAATGATTTGGTGGAGCCTCTAGAGACATAGCATAATTCCCAAAACTAGCAATCAGATCCTGCCGCAGATCAGAGCACTCATTGAAATTCTACACAGGCATTTCATCTTCCTGAATCTGATGTAAGTTCATTCTACTTACATTTCAATTTAAAATAGCTTCAGCTGTGGTTTGTGTGGCATAAATAATGAATAATATGTATTAGTTGTAAATTTTCTGGTTTTGTCCAGAAAAAACTGTAATTGCTGATTTGTGTTTATCTCTAATGACCTCTTCAAAATGTGTTGTCAATTGTTCCAGACTGATTACAGTGAAAACAAATCAACGGTATTACTGTTATTGATAGATGTTTGTGCAGGAAGACATAAAATATTTTAGCATGTTGAAATTTTGCCCATTTGTATTTACTGGCTCTGTTAATCAACTGTGGTTATTAAAACTGTTCAATGATGAAAAAAATGGACTTCTTTTCATCAGAAAGAAAACTGGCATAAGAATATGCAAACACTGATGCTACTCACAAATTAGTCTAATCTGTTAACAGAACATACCAAAATCACAATAGATTTTGACGAGTAGTCATTTATTAGTACAGACCTTGAGTATAGCTGAAAAAAGACATAATTTCTTGAAGCTGATGGTTGCTAATATTTTTGTCAACCTTGTTGGTTGAATCTATGTGCTTAGTGTGTTGCCCTGATAAACAGAATAGTGAATGGTTTTCAGAGCTAGTAGGAACTGCAGATGCTGGAGAATCCGAGACAACAAGGTGCAGGGCTGGATGAACACAGCAGGCCAAGCAGCATCATAGGAGCAGAGAGGCTGACGTTTCGGGCCTAGACCCTT